CCTCTTCCTCCCAGCACTGATGATATTCCCTAGTTGGGTCATGAAACATCTGCAAGAGAACCAGAGGACACCAATGACTCCACAGATGCTACTTTGGTGCCAGCTGGCCTACAGTGACCCACGCTGTCACCCTGATGGGCCTCACCCCTGTCCTTTCCCACACAGGCTAAGCCACCATCTTCTCCGCTAAGCCGACTTTCTACACCCCATCCCATTCTTACCTCCAAAACGTGGAGAATGGATTGTCGGTAGGATACCAACTTCTGAAACGTGGTGGGGTTGAAATGTTCCCGGAAATATACCAGCCCCACCAGTTTGTCAGTGGAGATCTGCAACAATAGCAATAGTGTCAGGATTCCAGCGATCGCCCTAATGAAATCATGATTCTCGAGCCAAACTTCAAAAAGCTTCAAAGGATTTATTAGAGGCGACATTCTGGCCCTGCCCTGCATGAAGCCAACTCTGGTCTACATAATTTACACTCCCTTGGGACCCTGTCCCCCCCCCTCCCGGGGGTCTCCTAAACCAGATTCTCCAATTGAGCACCTTCAGGGGCTGGGTGTCATCAGTCACGTTCTCCAATTAAATATATTCACGGGAAAAAGCTCTGGTAGTTTAGTTACAACCTTTTAAAGATAAAGAGTTGGAATGTACTTTTGCTTTCAAACTGCTGCACGGCTCTCCCAGATTTCCTTCCTTCCCCCCACTTTTTTTTTTAATGGCAACTACTAAAACAGGCATAGGAATGTTTGATGAGTTGACAATAGCACTTAGATTTATATAAGCATTTTACAGCGTCAACCTCTTGCCCCCAACAATCTGGGTCCTCATTTTACCGACCTCAGAGGGACGAAAGACTGAGTCAACTTTTGGAAGGAAGGAAGGAAGGAAGGAAGGAAGGAAGGAAGGAAGGAGGACACCGCAAAAACAAGTGATCCATAAACCATCATTCGTGGTTTAACATCTCTGAACCCAGCTAGTTGCCTCTGATTCCACAAACTACAGCTTAGGAAAATGGTAGGTGTGTAAGACAGGAGAGCCAAAGAGACTGACCATGTTCTCTGCCGTCCTCCCCCACCTTCCACGCTCACCTCCGAAAACTTTCCATCCCCAAACCATTTCACCCAGCGCATGCCGGGGGCCGCCTGGCGGTTGGAATTGGTCCTCCAGGACACCACGATAGCCGGCCACCAAGAGAAGCCTTTGATCTTCCCCCAGACCAGTTCCCCGATTCCAAAGCCTTTCCCGTCCTGTGAATCAAACAGAAAAAAAGAGGAAGGTTGAACAGGTTAGGGTTAGGGGCACGGGTGGGCTTCCAAAAATTTAGCAACCGCTTCTCTGCCTGGTTGCTGGCTGGGGGTGGCCATGGTGGAGGTGGCCTAGTCGGCCCCCTGCATCACCCTGGCCTGGGAACAAAATCACCCAGCTGGTTTTTGTGCCTAAGGTGGGACTAGAACTCACAGTCACCTGGGGATTGGCTCACAAGTTACTCAGCCATGTTCATGCCTAAGATGGGACAAGAATTCACCATTGCCTAGTGATAGGCTCAAAATCACTGAGCTGGCTTTCATGCCTAAGGCAGGGCTAGAACTCACAGTCACCTAGTGATTGGCCCAAAGTCGTTCAGCTGGCTTTCATACCTAAGACAAGACTAGAACTCACTGTGTCCTGGTGATTGGCTCAAAGTTAGCCAGCCAGCTTTCATGCCTAAGGGCAGGGGTCCCCAACCACTGGTCCGCGGACCGGTACCGGTCCGTGGAACAAGTCCTACCGGGCCGCTGTTTTGCTGGGCGCCGCCATCTTTTTTTGATGAAAACGTGCATCCGGTGAGGTCACCGGAAGCACTTTTTCATCAAAAAAAGATGGCGGCGCCCAGCTGATGCCGGTACCGGGCCGCGGCGCCCAGCTGATGCCGGTACCGGGCCGCGGCGTCAAAAAGGTTGGGGATCACTGCCTAAGGGGACTACTAGAACTCACTATATCTCTCGCTTTCTATCCTAGTGCCTAAACCACTAGCCCAAACTGACTCTCTTTATCAACCCTTGGGAAGAGTTTACAACAGAACATACAAAATTCAGTCGATTATTCCCTTTAAAATGAGGCAGCTTCTATCCCAGGGCAGGACCTCTATGGAATTCTACTGCATAGTGCAATATTAGTGCAATATCAGAGATTTTCAATTCAACGCATAGAATGTGAAGGATGTGTGTTTGTGTTTATTTTCATGGTCATGGTGTACACTGATGATGGTATTTAATTTCGTTGTACGAGGTGCAATGACAATAAAGTAAAGTAAACTAGGCCCCTGCATACCAGAACAACTAGACACAAGGGGAGTTTTTCCCCCAACGCCATCACTCTGCTAAATAACTCATTCCCTCAACAGTGTCCAACTATTTACAAAGTCTGCACTACTATTACTATTAATCTTCTCATTACTCCTTATCACTCATCTCCTCCCACTTGTGACTGTATGACTGGTAACTTTGACACGTATCCTTACGACTTATATTGACTGTTTCCTAATATGATTTGATGGCTTACTGTGCCCTATGACTATTATTAAGTGTTGTACCTGATGATTCTGGACTCTTGATGAATGTATCTTTTCTTTTAATGAACACTGAGAGCGCTTGCACTAAAGACAAATTCCTTGTGTGTCCCAATCACACTGGGCAATAAAGAATTCTATTCTATTCTATTTTCTACTTTATTCAATACTCTATACTCTATTTCTATTCTATTCTATTCCATTCCATTCTATTCCATTCCATACTATTCTATTCTATTCTATGCTATTCTATATTCTATGTTGTATTCTATTCTATTCCATATTTTCTCTTCCCTTCCCTTCCATTTCATTCCAT